CGGCCGCACGGGTCCGGGCGCGGTGGACGGGGCGTCGCGGGCTGTGGTGGACTACTTGAGGACGGGTGGCACCATCATGCACATCCAAAGCCACGACGATGTGAGCTGGCGCGGGTGCATGCGACGCAGGTTTTACGGGGGCGGGCTGGCGGAGCGCAGGGTTGGGGACTGCGGTGTTGGGCTGCACACCAGATGCTGCATTGGGGGAACGCATCAAAATGAGCTGCGGTGCTCTTTCCGGGGTTCCTTTCAGGGGTTTGGTCAGCTTTCCGGAAAGCCTGCTGCGTGTGGTGCCTCACTCCGCCCTCCCCGCTGGCCCCGCTCAGATGGTGGGCCACTCTGCAGTGGAGGAGCGCGAGGCGCTCGCGGCCAGGCAGCAGCTACGTGAGGAGGGGGGCGGAGGCGAGCACGAGGGGAGCGCCCGCCACCGCGGGGCGCGTGGGGGCAAGAAGTCTGCGACGGCCGCGGCGCGTGGCGGCGGGCGCGGCGGTGGCGCGGGGCCGGCTCAGGTGAAATCCGCAGGCGGCGCGGCGGCGGCGGTCAAGGTCGAGGGCGTGAGCAGAGCGGACGGGCGGGTGGGCGTCGAACCGCCATCCGCTCCATCGGAAGACGAAGAGGCGCACCGGGGCCGCGGCGGGGGGTCGGCCAGGGCCACCAGCCTGCTGGAGGGAGAGGACCCGGATGACGTGTTTTTCGGGTACTCTGTGGAAAAGCCGCCCCCGCTGGACCGCCTGTGGCTGCCGTGCTGCGCGCTCCTCGAGATTGCCGCGCAGCACGGGGCGGGCCCGAGGGAGATGGCCGAGCGCCTGCTGGCGATGGGCCCCGACGAGCTGCGGCGGACGGCGGCGGCGGCGCGGGCGGCGGCGCCTGCAGGGCGCAGCGGAGGGGCGGGAGCGGGCGCGGGGGGGCGGCTGCCGCTGCCAGGCACGGTGGCGGCGCCGGTGGCTGCCAAGCAGGAAGACAGCTTGGACCTGCTGTGATTTGTGACCGGGATGAGACACGGTTGCCCAGCGTCGTGTGACCGCAGGATGCACCTCTTACTGCAGTTCTACTCATTTCTTTGACAATGTTGACTGCCTGATGACCCAATGACACACAAGTTCAGTAGCGCGCCGTTATCGATTTGATATCAATAATTTAAACTGCTTCATTCAATTATTTACCCCTGTTGGCCTTGTGTCCCAGCGGGATACAATCCCTGGCCAAGTGAGCCACCTGCCTGCCTCGGTCAAATTGCTTGAGAGGCGGCTTGCACACAGCGTGGGCGACCGAACCACGGTAAATCTATACCCTGTATATCTGATTTAAAAGCATGGCTTTTGTTTCTAATGGGGAGGGTACGGGGTAAATGATGATCAGGCATACATGAATGCAGTGTGTGTGAGAAATCTGTCGCGCAGCAGGCCTGGTCAAAGGTGCATAATCAACCTGAGGTGCAAAAGATTGGAGCAAGAGGATTGGCCGACGGCTTCGAAGTGGAAGCAGCGCACTGCAAGCCCCAGAACAGTCATACATAGATAAGATAAGTTACTCATGGCATAGCATCACTGCCATCGGCCCCGTGCTCATCAGAGCGGACCTCCTCATTCCATACATAGACAGGAAAATGCAAGAACATTGTGCGATTGGCGCGGTGGGTGGTGGGCTCGCACTACCCCACCAGCTGCCCCTCGTCACTCGCGCCACTCGACCTTGCCGCTGTCGAGCGGCCGCCGCGCCGCGCGCCCCGCCGCGAGCGCCCCCGGCCGCGGGACGCCACAGACGAAGAACCCCAGGCACCTGTCCCCAGCAGCCGCGCTGAGGCCGAGGAACGAGGCCATCTCAGGGCTGTCGCGCTGCGCCGCGTGCCAGCTGCTCCAGTACCCCGCGACACCCAGAGCGCAGGCGGCGAGGTGCATGTTTTGCACCGCGCAGGCGACAGCCGCGAGCTCCTCCCACTCTGGCATCAGCTTAGACGGCACCGCCCGGCGGCGCATGCAGATCGCGATCATGTGGGACACGGGCGCCCAGCGGTGGGCGCGGTCGCGCCGCAGGCGCTCCAGGGCATCCTGCGGCCAGGGTGGTCAGAGGGGTGCGCGTGGCACGCGGTGTGACGCGCGCACATGACCAATCAACTGCGTGAGCAGTTAATTCTATAACGGGCCTTTGCTGAGCTGGCAACAGTCATGCTATCAGTCCAGCCTGATCCAGCAGGCCTGGTTTCAAAAAATAGCCTCTGCCGACCACCACCCTTGTTCTCATGTCCCCCTCCTGCGCCTGCCCACCTGCAGCTCAAATGGGTCGCGCGCGAGGAGCCGCCGCGTCGCGGCTTCCGTCACGTCCTGCATAGCGTGGATGCCGCGCGGCCCCAGCACGACGAACCGCCACGGCTCCGTGCGGCCGTGGGAGGGCGCCCAGTCGGCGGCCTCCAGCATCGCAGCAATGCTGGCGGGCGGGACGGTCTCACCGGTGTAGTGCTGCGGGAAGACGGAGCGGCGGCGCCGGATGGCGGCCGCCAGCTGCATAGGGGTGGGCAGCTGCTCCCGGGGCTCGACTGACTTGACAGGCACGGCTGCAGCCGGGGCCGGGGGCCGGTCAGCACAGGCGACACCGCGGCGCGACAGCTCCCACCGGAAAGGCGCCCGCGCGCCCCAACGCGCCGGCGGGGCGTCGGCGCCGGTGGCCTTGATTGCGCCCAGGGTGCGGGCGGCCGACTCAGACAACCCGCCGGCCCACGACCCGCGCCAGGCCCGTTGTACATACATGAGAAGGACGCCGATCACCACACCAGTCCCCCAAACTAACGATCCGATTGGTGCCCAGACCATGGCTGCCGATTGTAGGGATGCGCTGGTGTGTGCAGGTGAGTGTGCGCTGCTTGCGAATGCTGGCATGAAGAATGGCTCACGCACGAGACTTTCGGAGCAGCCTATGAAATACTCAGTACTGCCATGTTAATGTGTGGAGGCCATCCTTGCCACACAAGTCCGGTATGTTTGTGCGCTGCTGCAACGCAGCCGCTTCCCCCTTGGGTGCTGCCAGCGTCCTGCGCTGTACTTCACGCCCGACGCGGGCGGCCGGCACAAGGCACACGCGCAGCCACAACCACGTTCAAGAACCCAAAGCGCTCCACCGCTGTTATACAGACTGTCTAACCTGCGCATCGCGACTTGTTGTGGATTTTGTTGAAATGGGCAGCACGGGCCCCGCTCCCACGCCGATTTCAGTGATCACCGGCTTCTTGGGGAGCGGGAAGACGACCTTGATCAATTATATTCTATCTGAGAACCATGGGAAGAAAATTGCAGTCATCGAAAACGAGTTCGGAGAGGTTGGAATTGATGACTGCCTGGTGATGCAAGCACAGGAGGAGGTGAGGTGACGCATTGCTGTATAGGCAACAGATGTACTAGAACATGTCGGAGTTCCTGGATGAATGGGGCTGTCGCGCTAATTGTGGGTGATGTCACTCGGGTGTCACTGCGTGGTCTTGTCTGCCATCCAACTGTCTCACCCTCACGCGCTGCTCCACCGGCCACAGGTGTTTGAGATGAACAACGGCTGCGTTTGCTGGTGAGTTCTCGTGACCATGACGGCTTGCTGATGATGTTGCGAGCTGTGCTGTCATTGTAGTAAGGAGCAGCAGCACGTGTAGCGTGGACCAAAGCCACGGAAAGTTTGTTTTGCAGACCACAACCAATATTCAGGCTTTGATGCTCTTGCCCTTGTCTACAATGTTCTCTCGACATCCAGCCGCTGGGTCGCACCCCAGCGTGCCCTCCTGCATGACCCCTCTCTTGCCCCCGCCCGCCCCCACC